TATAGCAAAACAATGTCCACAATTCTCCAATCCAAAATAACTATTTTTCCAAAATTCACAATTTTGGCCATAGAAAACTGATTTGATAAATTCACTATAAATCACATGTTCAACAATTCCCAGAAAATCATACACCATTATATTCATACTCTAATAATCAAAATATTCATAAAATTTCATAAAGGAACTCAAATCATAGCACAAACCCTAATTAATACATAATGAGGGCAAAATAGTAGTTTTAGTTGCAATGGTCCTTACCTCGAGGCTAGCAACAAATCCTTAGTGTTAAACCTAGCTTGAGGAGTCACTCACACGTCCCTAGGAAGTTATAGGGCCGAAAGATCACAATATAGGAGAAAGAAATCAAGAAAACGGATGAACGATGCGAATTAGGCAACAAAAATGCTTACCGGAAGATTGGATTGGTTGATCTCGTCCTTGGACTCAAAAGTCGTGTTGGATATGTTAATATTAAAGTTCTGAAAGAGATAGAGCTTGAAGAGGTGGTTCTAGGGGTTTTGGAATGAGGAAAATCGGATTAGGGATGTATTTATGGCGAATATCCGAAGTTGGGTCGTATTAGGATAAAATAGGGACGCACGATCATGCGTGCCTCCTTACGCACGATCGTGCGTCACTGGCAGTAGCTATTACGCTCAATTTTCATGCCACGCACGCCGTGCGTGACCCCACGCACCCCGTGCGTGACCTCCGGACGCCCCAAACCTTAGTTTTTGCTCCGTTTCTTCCCCGTTTGCACCTCCCCTTGGTCCGAAACACTAAACCAGCAACCATAGTAAACTATCCCAAGACCATCTAAACGATACGAAACACAATTTTAATTACTTCTCAAACTCCCTCAAATTTTCGGGGTATTACACCGAATCTTCTCAACTTAAGCTCAAACGCTGATGTCGGGTCTAAATTCTTCCTTTTCTTCAGCGAATGCAAACCAAACCCGGTAAATTGTGACCTTGAGCTAAATAAACACTTTGTGGCGCAAATAAATTAGGAAAAGTGACAAAACTCAATCTCAACACGCATCAAATGCATGTTGAAATACGAACTTATCAAATTACCCTACAATTAAGCTTTTGTTTGTCCTCAAGCAAACTGAATTTCGAGACTTACAGTAATCACCACATGAAATTAAAAATATCAGCATGCACACGTAGCTAAAGGGATACTCACAGAAAAGGTAGTCTAAATCAAGAATTTCTCTCTCTAAATCATCTCTTTGTACTATGGCTAAAATACTGACACGACTAATCACAATATTCCTGAGGTTATGGCAGCGCACACAATTAAACTTGCTACTAATCAGAAGGACTTGTGAAGGTGGCGGTAAATGGTAAAATAATCTCTTTTCTTTGAGAGATTGGAACAACCTGACAATGACTCAATGTGTTCGGGAATTTCGGGGCTATTTTTAGGATCAAGGAACTCAGCAAGACACTAACTAGAAACTATCATTTATGACTATGCAAGGAGTAGACACGGTGTACAACTAAGTTAAATCATCGCTGCACATTGATGCTTTGACGTATACTTGAAGTACGCGAAGGACTAAATTTTGCAAGAGCCTTCAAGTCCAATTTAATTAGTTTAGTTTTCATTGTCATGTTGGCACGAGAACGCCAATTCTTTCGAAAGATCTTATTGTGCAAAACACTTACGCTTTTTGACCGATTCTCCCATTCTCTTTTTTGCAAGGTAAGATGTCTAGCTATATTAATTAATTTTTTCAGTTTTTGATATTTTTACTAGACATTACCCCATTCTAATCTCGGCCTCACCAAGGAAAATTCGTAGTTAAAGTTCATTTAAAGCAGGTGAATCCATGCCTACAATGCAATCCTCGAAAATATCAAATTCCTAAGAAGTGACTACTCTTATCCTATTTGGGGCATAGGAACAGTGCAAAAAATGACTCCTGCCAGAATTCCTTAAACTTAGCAAATTAACCGTAGCACCTTAAACACCAAGAAATTGTCATAATTATTAACGGGTGATAAAATAGGCCATTTGGCAATGGAGCTCAATTTTCGTTTAAAGATCAGATAGGTCAAGTTCAAAATGGCTTATCCAGGTGGAATGGAAAAATCATGAATAAAATGTGGTAACTAATGCACGCGTCCTTTCAACAACTAGATTAACCGTATAAGCAATTTAAGCCTAAAAATTTCAAAGACATCTTAAAAGCACAGTCTAGACTTTAGTCAGCTCACAAAGACACGGTTTAAATAAAAAAATTGAAAAAAACTAACATGAATTTCCCATGAGTATACAACTCCCGACCGAAAACCCAATTCACTCCCCCACACTTAAACTTTGGCATTGCCCTCGATGACCAAAAATGCACTATGCACAAAGGGTAAAGAGGAAAGGGTCACGCGTGTTCACAAGCTCAAGACAACGGAAAACAACGAGTAAGGAAAGTAGAAACTCCCCTACGTCTTTGGTTGGTCTTGAACTTCATTTGAACCCGCAATTCCATCAACAAATCGTCAAATGCGCAAGGGATCAGGTTGCAAAAACAAACACAAAGAAAAACATCCAAACAAACAAAAAATGCAGAAAAGGAAACTTGGGTTGCCTCCCAAGAAGCGCTATTTTCAGTACTACTTGTAGGTTGGGAAGCTGTGTTGGACTGGGATTGTTCTTTTAAAAGAGTAAGTTCATTCAACAGTTTGTCACACTCACTCTCAAAACTCTTCCTCTCTTCTTCAAAACTATTTCTTTGATTTTCAAGAGAAATATGTAAGTTTTCAAACTTCTTTATTAAAGGAGGAATGTATGGTTCATCTATATCAGACTGTGAGTTCGAGGGGGGTTCCAGATCAGACACAGCTTTCTTCTCAGAAGGATAAAGACTCATGCATTCATCAGAAGAAACGACAGGTTCAGCTGTAGCATAACTTTTGTTCAAAGCAGAATAATCAAAAGAGATTTGAGCTTTTGTGCTGTTTGTTCTTTTCTCAGCCTCAAGTTCCTCCGTTTCTTTTGCCGCAGTAAAATGCATGAGCTTGGTCAGACCGAATCCCATATAGTTAACATCATATAGTTGTTTACATTTAACCTTTTTCAGATTGCAGGGATTCGATAGACCAATACCTTCTTTGGAGTTATAGAAACGGGTATCCTTGGGCTGGTTTAAGAATATTGTTTGTTCAGTTTGATCACGTTTAGCTAACAGATCCTCAAGCTCCTTAATCTTACTATAAAGAGCACTTCTTTGATCATGCAAAACCTTTTTCAATCCAATTGTTTGGTTAAGCTCTGTCTTGGTGTCACGCAGCTCACGAGTCAAGTAAGTGGTCTTAAGTGTCAACTTGTCTGTTTCTAAGGTCAGTTTTTCAACCTTTTTCGTAGATTCATCAAGTTTTAAGGATAGGCAGACATTCTTATGCAAGTTCTTAAGTAAGACTTTATGATTGTTATCAAGTCTCGCCTCAAGTTCCTTAATGATTTTATCCTTTTCCGCAATTGAAGCATTTAGGAGGTTCTTCTGCTGCAATGACTCTTTCTGAGGAATTCTGCTCAAACTGCTTTGGCTTGTAGTTGGATGAGGAGGTTCTCAGCTTGTTGGATGAAGTGTTCTTGTAACACCCCGGCCCCGCAGGATCCGAGGTGGTTACTCCAGACCTCTAGTACTATACTCACAAACCGCCACTAGCCTTTTCCGCACACTTTGTCCTCACTCGTGCGCACCCTGAGAAACTTCCCAGGGGGTCACCCATCCCAAGACTACTTCCGTGCAAGCACGCTTAACTTTGGAGTTCTTAGGTGATGAGCTCCCTTAAAAGGAGATGCATCTTGTTGGTATGAGTAGTACTATTAATCCGTTTAAAATAATCTCAAGTGTTACAATCACCCCCACTTAGGATCACAACGTCCTCGTTGCGCCCTTAAACCAATCTCAATCACACCCCAGAATCTTTTCCCCGGCTAAGTGCCCGCCCGATATCCAACGGATCAACACACTGTCGCAGGGTTGCTCTGATACCACCTGTAACACCCCGACCCCGCAGGACCCGAGGTGGTGCGCGCCCTGAGAAACTTCCCAGGGGGTCACCCATCCCAAGACTACTTCCGTGCAGGCACGCTTAACTATGGAGTTCTTAGGTGATGAGCTCCCTTAAAAGGAGATGCATCTTGTTGGTATGAGTAGTACTATTACTTTATAATAAAATTTAATATTTTTTAACTATAAATGTATATAAGATTTCATTAAGGGTAATTTTGTCATACCAATGCATTTTTAGTCCTATAAAATATGGAAGTCCTACTTATGGAAGTAATTACCAAATAACGAAACTTTTCGTTCTGACATTCCAAAAAACGGGAGTTCCCATTAGGTTACCTAAAGACGTTAGTCGGAATTTCCAATTCCGACAGGAATTTAGGTTTTGAAAAACACACCTCTTTCAGTCGGATTAACCACTTCCGACTAGGGGAGTGTTCGAAATTTTTAAAAAAAAATTGGAATACCCCTAGTCGGATTACACAATTCCGACTAGGTTTTTGTATTTTTTTTTTTTTATTTTATAATTGCTTCGGATTACACGGAAAACTTAAAAAAATTGAAATACCCCCTAGTCGGATTACACAATTCCGACTAGGTTTTTGTATTTTTTTTTTTAATTTTATAATTGCTTCGGATTACACGGAAAACTTAAAAAAATTGAAATACCCCTAGTCGGATTACACAATTCCGACTAGGTTTTTATATATATATATTTTTATTTTTTTATTCGCTCGGATTACACAAAAATGGAGCGTGGATAATAAAAAATTGAAGCTTTAATAATAGCCAAGTAGCTTGTCGGAATTGGGGAATCCGACAGTGGTGTGTGACGTGTTTAATAGTGGTGCAAGTATTTTACCAAACTACTATCCTAAAAACTCTATAAAACACATTCATTTTTTCTCAAATTTTACACACACTCGGAAAACATTCTTCCTTTCTTCACATACCATTATATACCCAGTTCTTTCTTTCTTAACATACTATCCCCACATACCATATTTACTCTAACACTTTAATATATTCATTACCTTTTTTGTTTACCACTTTCCTCTCATATAATATTTATAATATATATCATATATAAAAATGTCTAGTGAGGGTAATATTATTCTTATGGTGCATTGGAATGGTTCTACATCTCAAAGAGATGATGAAATAGAGTACTCCATACCTCCTAGAGCTGTACTATTCATTAGTGAAGGAGATGATTATACTACTATACATGAAAATGTTCTCAATCATGTTATTCGTGATGGATTTTCCGAAATTAAATTAATTTACGGAAAATTGCCGAAATATAAGAATTCGGTATATGTTGCTTCTAGATTATGGCCCATTCATGATGAGCGAACATGGCGGCATTTTTTCCGGATCGCCACAAATGAGTATGAGGAGTTGCACATTTACGTGGAAGCTTCAGCGACCCCGCCACAAAATTTGACGTTCCACGAAACTCATGGAGTGGAAGGCCCATCATCAAGTCGGAGGAACAACCGCCAATCGTTTCAGAACCACGAAACTCCCGGTATGTATAGTTCAATTTAATTTTGTAATTTGTAACTGTTTTACTTTAGATTGTTAAATTGGAATTTTAGAGTTAAATAATTATATAGGTTAAATAAATATGATAGGACAAATTAATAACCTATATTATATTTAAATTAAGTGCATAGCACTTTTGCAAGTAATGTGAGAACACGTAATATAAGCTCACTTGTGCAACCGTCTCTTATTTAGGCTATTTGTTTAATTTATACAAATATATGACATATACTTAATTGCACATATTCAAAGTGGTATATACACCCAAATATTCCATATATATATATATATATATATATATGTATATATATATATATCTTTAACTTAATTTGCCTTAAGTTTTTTTTAGGAACGTAGAAGTAGTATATTTAGTAATTTGTAAATTTTTTGAAATTTATTTGTTAAATTTGAATTTTAGGGTTAAATTTAGTTATAACATACTTGAAAGTTAGAAAGAGTGTTAAATTTAGAATTGAACTTCAATTTTGGTTTTGAAAAATTGGAATTTTAATTTAGTGTATAATATTATTCTAAATTTTGTATGTGTACAAATTTATCGTGTACACATCTTGTTGAGTGTGTTTTTAGTGTAATATGTGTCTTTAATGTAAATAATATGGAGTATTATCGTGTTGAAACCATTATTGATGTTGGATTTCACAAAATTATATTTATAATTAATGAAAAAATGGTTTTTAACGTTATGTAATAGATAATCAAACCATATATAATATAAAAAAAAAATTAAGCCTGTCGGAATGCTCAAATCCGACAAGGAGGTGAAAAAAATAGAAAAACTGCCTGTCGGATAGCCCAATTCCGACAGGAGGGTGTTTTTTTACAAATACTTTGTTTTATTATTAAAAACTATATATATTAAATTTTATAAAATACATTTTTTATTAAAAAAAAATTTATTCGACAAAACATTTATTTTGTTTTAGAAGTATTTATTTTTGTAATTTTTAACTCATTGATTTAGAGAAAACTTCCATTTTATAATATAACTCGTTTAAACAAAATCTAACACATTTACTCTTATGAATTCATTCAGATTCGGGTGAAGAGTCTGATGACCCAGACTATGAACAAGGTTTTTGTAGTGATGTCGATACAACCACGACGGATGGTAATGACGAGACAGTAGACCCCACCTGGGCAAATGTAGAGCTAGAAGAACCATATGTGCTTGATTCTGAGCCTCAAAGGATCGAAGTCGGCGCAATTTACCCTTCATTTGATGCACTGAAAGAAGCGGTGGCGAGAGAAAACATTCGTCAATTTCGTCAATTCCAATCGGTTGACAAAAGGGCACGGTCTTGGAAGGCGGTTTGCATTTACCCGACTCTTTGCACTTGGCATATCCAAGCAGCAGAAGGTATGAATTCCACAAAATGGAAAGTTAAAAAATATCAACCCCATCACAGTTGCAGGGAGGATCCTGTCACATTTCGGGATGATAAGATCCTAACGGCCAAACTCATAGCGAGTGAAATCGCTCCGAAAGTTAAAGTTGACCCGGACTACAGCATTAAACTCATAATGTCAGACATATATGAAAAATTTAATATCCGTGTTTCATATAAAAAAGCTTGGAATGGACGGTTGATCGCTCTGGAGCGTAAATTCGGCAATTGGGAGGCCTCGTATAATGAACTTCCTATGTTGTTGGAAGCTATACAGTTTTCAAATCCGGGGACGGTTGTTCATTTGCAATCACAACTACAGGTCGGCGTTCCTGATACGTCTGAATTCCGTCGAGTGTTCTGGTCATTCAAAGCTTCTATTGACGGATTCAGATTTTGCTTACCTGTAGTCTCGGTTGATGGGACTCACTTGTATGGCAAATACGAGGGGGTTCTTCTAGTAGCCGTAGCCATTAACGCTAATCGTGAGATATTTCCTCTTGCATATGCTGTTGTTGAGAGTGAGAATGCTGACAGTTGGTCGTGGTTCTTTAGCTGGGTTATGCGTGATGTGGTTGGAAGTCATCGTAAGGCAAGACATTCCGGATGCTCCTTTGGCAGGTAGTGATCATCACGGCAATCGCTCCAACATAGCAACCGGTGCCTTGGCGATGTGGGCGAACATACAAGATCACATATATTTTCTCGATTATGATCAACAGATGTTCGTCGAAGCCACTAATAGGTACAAAAAATGGTACAAGAAGCATGGTATGACACGTGTGCAGAACCCTTCTCACATTGTGCCCACGACAGGCTATACCCCGACAGCACACCAGTGGGGTATTGTGGTAAGTATTTTTAAAAAAATACTTTTCATTAACATATATCATGTCATAAAGTTGATATGTTACAAAATTTTATGTAGCAACAAGGCATTTACGAGTTGTATCAGCTCAGCATCAACGACGCGAGTAATGACGACATTCAAAAACGAATACGGAAACTGGCCGTGGACGCAGGTGATGAAGACATGATCCACCGGGGCATGTTCCATTATGAAGATGAAGGTGGAAGTCACGAAGAGGATGATGCACATGAACATGAAGGTGGTGGTGAGGAGTCATCATTGGATGGTGTGTCATTTGATCAACCACCACCTCAATTCTCAACGCATCAATCCCTCACATTTGATCAACCACCGCCGTATTATGAATCTTATCAGTTCACTAGGCAACCCGATGATTTTGTTGACTCATTTCTGAGTTCGTCATATTTGTATGGAGACCCAACGGTGCCTTGGAACAGTGGCGGTGGAGACGGAGCAGGGCCGAGCACACAACATTAGCTGTAGTATTAAATTTAATGTTATATGTACTCTCTATTCATTAATGAATTACATTGAAAAGTACATTCTTTTTGTTCACTTCCTTTAAAATTACTAAAATTGCCCTCAAAACACCATCATAGTTGTACCTAATTTGATAAATAAATTAAATCAAAATTACACTTAAAATTACAAAAATTACAATTAAAAAAAAATTCACAATACAAATGCATTACAAAACAATATAAAGCAATCAAATGTTTTATACTACACATACAAAATGTTTAGATTTTAAAAAAACATGTGATTAATATAATTAAACTTTTAAACTTGGAATGGATAAAATTCAAATAAATTATACCAAAAAGTTTTCATTTAACCCTACAATTTCAAACTTTAACATTTTTATAACTACAAATAAAAAACTTAACAATTTTTTTAAAAAAAAGGGGAGGTCGGAATCACCTAATCCGACAACTAAAAAAAAAAATTAAATGGGGTCGGAATCACCTAATCCGACAGGGAGGGGAGCTTGATTTTTTTCGAAACCCTAATTCCTTGTCGGAATTGGGTAATCCGACCTGCGTTATTTGGTAAAACCTAGATTTTTCCCCGCTTTTTGGAATTAAATATGGGGTATCCCCGCTTTTTGGTAAATCACCCCCTACTTATGCATGTTCATTGTTTTAAATTAGTCCTATTTAAGTAACTCGGTCTATATTGACTCTTCTTAAGCAGGATAGGACTAGAATTTTTTGGTATGGACGATCTTGGGTTGTGGATAGCTTCACTGCAGCAACACCCAAATTAAAATAATCAATAATTCGAGATGTTAATGTATATAAGCACACTTAAATATCTAGCTTCTCTGGCTGCGCTGTGCTTATCGATCAGTTATCATCAACTAGCTGGGAACCGCTTACTTTACAGTTTACCCACATCTGTTATCGTCAATTATCTACTGCCGTGCTAAAAATATTGAAACTTGCACAATTTATTTTCAAAGCTAGCTTAATTATTAGCAGGATATAAACTAAAGTTGATTGCCACAAGCTGTCAAGTGTGAATGATTTTTAGCTTTACGTTATTTTCATTATGTACAGTAATAATGTTTAAATGTTACGTAGTATACCGCCTCACATGCATACTATACGGTCATTCATTTGAAATTTGAATAAAATATATAGGGATATAATACTACGTAATAAGAAATAACATCTATCATTAGTTCTCAATTTTATCCTAGCTTGAATTAGGGATATTTTTGTAGATGAAAAAAATGGCCGGTTACGATCTAGAACCACTCCTTAGCTTCAAGCCTTCAACGGTTGGAGGTTCTGAAGCATGAACTACGCCATCGACATGTCTCCACTTTGTAATTAAACAGGGAAACTCTTGGGAAAGATTATGTTTCCGTTTCGGAGATTCTACGAAAACTCTTTGAAAACTCTCTAAATAAGCCTTTTGAACAAATATTGACGTTTCATGTTTCCCGTCTCTAAGAAATAACATCTATCATAAATTAGTTCTCATGATTTTTGCGTTTGCTTGCAACATAGTGTCTACATGGTTGAAAGAACTAGTCGGTCAATGGAACTCATGAACCCGGGAAAACAACCATTCAAAACCTTTCGCTCGCGCATAAGATAAACTTTTCCAGGAAAAAAAGACACACATGTATGATGTGAAAAAATATAAGAAATTAAAAGTATTAAAAATGTATATGTTGTGCATATAAGGAAATTAAACTTATTAAAAATGTCTCGTGTAAAACATTAGGTCTTCCGAAACAAGCTTTTCCTACTCCTAGAATGAAAAGTACTCCCTCCGTCCCCAAATGAAGTTGAGCATTGCTTTTCACACATATTAAGGAAAGAAATTTACTGGGGGTAAATTTTACTGTTTGGGCACTGTTTGGACACTGTTTGGACACTGTTTGGACACTGTTTGGCACTGTTTGGCACTGTTTGGCACTGTTTGACACTGTTTTGATATAGATAAATTGCCAAATAAGAAAAGGTGAACTTCATTCAGGAACTACCCAAAAAGGAAAGGGTGAACTTGTTTCAGGGACGGAGGGAGTATATAAAAAAAGAGAAGATGAAGCATGGGTAAACAAAAATGGGGGAATATAATAGAAAAAATTATTTTATTGTTTTATAAATAGGGGATTTGGATATTACATTTGCGGATTTGTTAGAAATGAAAGGAGCTTTGTTGTGTTATACGCCTCATATTTACATGCTTCAATTTGTTTGTGTTACTGATTTTTTTTGTCATTTTGTAAGATGATCTGCTTGTGACATCGATGAAAAAAATGTCTGTATTTTCCCCCCAAATTTTGTCGGTATTAAACACAATTCATCTTAACAAACGAAAATAATACTTTGTCTCGACACCGGAAATGAGGTGTGTACATGTACAATAAGAAATTTTCATTGGAATTACACTTTAAATATAACTCTGCAACAATAATATTCAGTGTGCGTTAGCATGGGGTGGCAAAAAATAAGGAAAATGCTAAGTGTACATATATTCAGTGTACACTATATAAAAGCCCCTCAATTTATTTTTACCCTTTTTTTTTCTTTGATTTACCCCTTGCCAGAATCCCACCCTAACCCCTTTCTCTCTCTTTCTCGGCCCCTTTCTCGCATACCTACGACTCTTCTTCCCTTTCTCCTCCCAAACTTCTTTTCTTCATCTCTTTTTCTTGTTTGTCCACTATTTCCCCTTCTATCTTCTAATCGAGTTGCCATGTACAAGAATGTGATGAAGTATTCTCTCTATGATGTACAATTTTTCTCAAAAGTATTATTAATGAGGTAATAATATATTCCGATTTTTCTTATGCATCTTTTGGATTTATTTATTTTTCCGGATTTGTGTCTTATATCATTAAAATTTTGAGTATATTGTTCTATTGTAAGATATTGTGGTGCTAATTATTGAAATTTCAGTCCAATTACTATATTCCATTCTCTCAAAAAAATATTACATACAATGCTCATGACATGTTTGTTAAAATGACTCAATGGAAAATTTATTCAAATCCAAGACTTTTTTTTATCTATTTCTTTTGTTTGTTAGTTGTAGATTCTAATTCTCTGGTTATCAAGTCTAAATTAAATACACTGTTTTTTTTATATGATTTGCTAGTCTAATATTTAAATTTTTGTTTCTAATTGTTGTTGTGCTAAAGCTAAAACATCAAGTAATGAAAATAGAGGGTATTTTTTCCATGATTTCATGCACATCTTAGCATGGCGACACTTATACATTCATGGCAAAAAATAGTGTAAGGTCCGTTAAAACATTGAGTTTAAAATAATTATGTCTTAGAACTTCATTTTTCGTGTATATGTGTGGATAATAATGGTATTCTGCACTTTGGAAGGAAGTATCACATAAATGTTTTTAGTATGCCCTTGAGTTTTTATTAATTAGTTGATTTGTTTTTCTTTTAATTTGCTTCACCACACGGAATAGAGTTTATTATGACATCAGGTCAAACTGAGACTCTCTTCAATGCTACGAAAGTCCTCTTTGCCTTCAATTTAATCAATGCATTATACAAGTTGTTTTAACTTAAGACAAATTCAGGCTATAGTTTCATATTTATTTGACTTGTACTGCTTTACAAGAATGTAGAGTTGACTTCTTCAAGACCTATTGAGTAATCAATCCTCAAAAGAGTTATAAAATTTCTAGAGAAAGAGCTACTGAAAAGTCAACTCCAAATCTACACTTCATTTTACTTATTCATATGCACTTCATTTTACTTATTCATTTCTTTCCTGGTGTAATATAGTCACCTTTCACGCCCAACTAGCTGCAATGCATTTGCAGGGAATGATGATTCATAGTCTTATGCAAAACCCGAGCTATCTCACATCTCGAATAGTCCAGGATCAAATTGAGTCCCAAAGAAAGTCAAAGACTAAATGAAGACAGAAAAATTGTCGATTAATATGGAGCATAGTTTGATTGTTAGTTGTGGAAAATTTTCAGCCTTAGCTTTGGTGTTGTAATGTTCTCAATTATTTTCCTTTGAATTCAATGTCATTTATGTATTAACTTTAATGAAAGTATCTATTATGACTCTTGTATTAACATTTACAAGTATATAGAATGTAATAGTATTTAGACTTGCTTTTGTTATCAAAGATGTTTTTTTAAATAGACATTGATAAAATAAATGATTTAAAAATTAAGTAATTTGAAAGCTAAGAATGAGCGTTTCAAAGTAAGGGATACCAGATGACTTATTTTGTTTCCATTGGATTGTTGAGTGTACTATATAGAATTGTTTGTGAATAAGTTATTGGCTTAATGGGCTAAGTGAAATTGTCTGTGAACCAGACATGAAATGTATGGTCATAGACAATAGTCACTAGAATGGATTATGAGAAAAGTGAAATTGTCTGTGAACCAGACATGAAATGTATTGTCATAGACAATAGTCACTAGAATGGATTATGAGAAAAGTGAAATTGTCTGTGAACCATATATGAAGTGTCTAGTCACACACAATAGTCACTTGAACGGGCTATTTGGTTAAGTGAAGTTGTCTGTGAATCAGACATGAATTGTCTTCTCACATACAATAGTCACTAGAACGGGATAATGAGCTAAGTCAAATTGTCTGTGAACTAGACATAAAATGTCTAGTCATACACAATAATCACTGGAATGGGCTAATGTGCATAGTGAGATTGTCTGTGTACCGGACATGAAATGTCTGGCCACAAGCATGGTAAGTAAGTACATAGAACACCTAGCACTTCCGTTGGCATTATATATAAGTAAGTAATACAAGAATAAATCATCTCATATATATCCTTTATTTTGAAACACAATGCTTGACTTTCAAATTGATTATTTTTTCCATCATTTGTACATATCTTATAACTATATGGAGCACAATTAGTTTTTCCACATATATTAACTAATGTGATAAAATAATCATTTTTGAGATGCCACTTCATGTCTGGTTTATAGATAATTCAACTTAGCACATTATCCTATTTTAATGAGAATTGCATATGGCTAGACATTTCATGTATGGTTCACAAACAGTTCCACTCAACGCATTAGCCGTTCCAGTGTTTATTGTCTGTGACCAGACACTTTATTTCTTGTTCACAGACAATTCAATTAAACATATTAGTCTATTTCTTCTTGGCACGCACACCTATTCCTTCTTGGTTGGGGGATGTACGTAGTCCTTGAGTAAAGATAAAAATAATAATGAAGAGCTAACATTATTTAAACATGATTACCACCTAATATGATATTAACACCAAACAACAATTAAAGAGGTAGGATTACAAAGCCAAAGTCTATTGGTAATCCCTAGAATGAGGACGTATCCTCTTACGATACAATAAATCAAAATAAAGGGGAAGCAAAACAACAATATGCATGACCAATGTGTCAACAAACAGGGTCAAAATCTTATTACATGAAGAAAAAACATTCCAACAAATGGATTTTCCTCTTTCCAAAAAATGAACACTCCGTAGAGGTAGGAATTTTGTCTCTTGCCCGTCTTTTGCGCTTGAAATGCCCATGAACTTTCATCCTTCCAATTCCATAGAAGGTGCTCCACCTAATTTAGTGCCAAAACTGAATGAATTGTTTGAGTAGAAGTAGGAATTCATATTCTCCTCTTGAATCAATTTTTGCATTCCCCTAACAATTCTCATAACACCCTCACCTCCAAAATTTCTTCTTTCACATCACAAAACCTTGTTTTTGCTTAAGTTGCTCCAAAAGATGCAAAAGTAAACGCAAGTCCCCAAATAAAACAAGCACCTTTTTCCACACAAAAATAAGACAAAAAAACACTACATAACCGAACACTAGAGACTCAAAATTAACAATTAAACATTATTAAAACTACTGTTAATTGAGTAAAAGAAACAAACAAGAAAAACAAGCACCATTTTCCACAAGAATGACATTTGGCTTAGAGCATATGAATGCAAGGAATCAACTGTAACTCGTAACATGAGACCAAAATAGAAGCCCATAAATCCATATTTGGCATTGACTATTCAAAATTTCACAAACTACATAATCAAGTGTACTCTACAAAAAAACACTATACAACCTAACAATAAAAAGCCGTCAAATAGCATGCACCAAGCAACCCTTAAGTTGATCAAAGTCTACTACTTAATGTGATTATTCTACTATAAGTAGGATAAACAAAGTGAGTTGATTAGTGTTCCAAGTGAGTCCCTAATAAAAAAAACTAATGCTGCTCTCTATTGCATACTTATGAATATCCCCAAACTAAAATTTAAAATAATAAAATAAAATAGTCACTTCAAAATTAAAGTACACTTTTATGGAACAAAAGAGTCAATTATTTAAGTTAAATAAAAACAAGGTTCTATCAAGCTTGCATTTAAAAAAAAACAGAATATGAAACTCATTAAACACCAAGGAGCATTAACAAATTAAAAAAAAGGAGAAAAAATATTGAATTTGAACAAAAAGTTCATTTGGTCATTTTAACAAACACTTTATGGGCAAAACAAACTAGAGTATTTACACTAAGATTTCAAGAATTAACTCCTCAAATCTCTTACAATAAAACAAAACCATAAATTATTCAATGTTAAAACATATATAATATTCACGAAATTAGGAAAAGTATATAAAACCCCCAAAACACACATGAAAAAATGGGTATAAATACTTACGATTAGGTTGAAAGAATGATTGAAATTGATACATATGATGATTTAAAATGGCATATAATGATTTAGTGGGAGAAGGATTCAAATTGATATTGATATAGAAATTAGAGGGCTTCAAAGTAAAGAAAAAGAAAGGAGAAAGAAGGGCTACGGTAGAGGAGGGGGAAGGCACAGAGAAGGGGAAGGGGAAGGGAGAGAAAAGGAGTAAAACATAAAAGTAAAATGGTAAAATCTTGGAGGTATTTATATCATGTACAAGTTGTGTACATTTCATGTACCCTAAGCATGGTTGAAAAAATAAACCCTAGCATCACCCTCCTTTCGCTCACCTTTCTGGACGGCAATTTTCCATCTTCTTCATGAAAGTGATTTGACTCTCGTATGAGTAATGGTTTATATCCTAATGTGTCCAGGGCGGTTCTTATTCTATGATGATAAAATTTTAGTTCAGGGAACATGTAACTTTTATTAAATTTGGAAACGTTACAAAAGGATTAAGAATATTTATAATTTAAATATTTGACAATAAACACCAAAAACATATTTTTTGGCCTTTAAAAATGTAACAAGAGTATCTTTATTTAATATGAATTGAATTTTATTAAATGATATATTATATTTGTCATGAACTATTTAATATTTGGCTACATGAAGTATATATGTTAATTGTTGATATATTTGAAAAGGAATACTATACTATTGAATTGCAAAGCTAAAAACATGTTTGAATTAAATTTTGACAATTTCATATACTATACAAAATTTTTCCTAAAATATTATTAATAAACAAGTAATTGACAAAATATGAATTAGTAACTATCAGTAGACTCTAATTTAAATTTTGAATGCAATTATAAACACTAACAGTTATTAAGTCATATTTTTATTCTATTGCTTTTCTTGTAATTTTGAATTAGTGGATTTTTTCTACTTTAGGGACCAAAGGCATTTACCTCAGATGCATGTTAAAGGGTGCGAAGGTTTCAAGCCAATGCAGACTAGGCCGATTAGCTTGTTATTTATAGGCCATGTTTTTTTATTGGCGTTTTCAACTCTAAACTCTAAACATTTTGTAAGGATACCATGTTTTGTCACAACACACTAGAATCCAAACAGCCTCATAATCTTGGTTTTGTATTCATTTTTTTTTTTCGAAACACCTGCTCCATTTTATGTTACTTGTCGAAAATTTGTTTTGAAGTGCTCCAAATTACTTGTTTCATAATTCAATTTGTTAAGTAAAATTCTTATTCACATACTATACATACGTAACTAATATGAATCGGAGTAGCTTGAATCTATGCGACCATGGTTAACCGTCCATTTGGTCATTTAATTTGGTGCATAGGACATACATTAAACATCAAATGGAAAAACAAATTTGGGGCATAAGTCAAAGTTTCATAAATCGATGAGAATGATTGATTTGGAAATTCAACTTTCCCCTTTGTCCGGTTGACGTTAAAAAATGAATAAAGAATTAATGATAAACATCAGATGGAAAAACAATTTAGCAGAAAATTAAGAGATCTACACGAAACGTTACTGAACCGTAACATCTTTTTTTCTTAAACAAATTTACATCCCTTCGATATTTTTTAACGGTTACAAAATTCTTTTAATTTCTAGAAAGTCTTTTGTTATTTGTTCATCTTTACCTTATTAGTACGGAGTATGTTTTTTTGTATAAAATACCTTTACGGCTCTAACCATCACTATTTTCATCATTTACCTTTTTTATGGAATACATTTTATAAACTACTCCGTATTTCTTATGAAAAATATGCTCACAGAATTTCATCAAAAAATTCTACTCCGAAGCATCTCAATTGGATGTGGTTGCACGACGATTCTTATCAGGTATGTCCTCAATATATATGTATGTAAAGTAATACGAAGTAATTAACATGCACAACATAATGTCTTAAAATGTTTTTAATTGGATTGATTTGAGTCTCAGGTTAGATAAGACAAGATCAAATCAGATTGGACTACTTTAGATCTGTTGGGATCCCTCCTTAATTGGAGAGGTTCTAGAAAATTCTAGAGCTTTCTAGATAAGTATAGAATTTTCTAGAACGTTCCGGAGAATCCTAGAGAAGTCTAGAACTCTCTAGAAGCTTGTGGAACAGTGTGGAATCCTCTAGAATATTCTAGAGATGTGTGGAACCTTCCGGAAGCCTATGGAAGAGTATGGAAGGATATGGAAGAGAGTGGAAGAGTATAGAGACTCCTAGAGTGTGCGGAGCATTCTAGAGAATCAATCTCCACCCTTGGATAGAAATCATCCCCACCATTCATTGTGAAGGTGGAGTAGTATAAATAGGGGTAGGAGCTTCATTCCTAACCATCCTAGCCAAGAGTGAATCCACTTCTAGAGTGAGAAAGTTAGAAAGCCTCTTTGAGAGAGAAGAGAGATAGCTTGGGAAGACATCATCCTCAAGCTTGAGTGAGCCACCATTGAGTGAGACAATTTTGTAACATCCTTGTATACCCTA